CACAACCATTAACAATGACATTAGTGTCTGTATATGTGTGCATTCAGTACACATGTAAAATGATGTAATTCAACATACCACAGTGCTGATTGCTATCTCTAATATATAAATATTGTTTGTATAAGTATCCTTAGCATCATCATCTTCAGTCTCTCGTCCACCAAATAGAACAGCTCTAGTGTTGTTGATCTTTTCAATGATAAAGGTACTAACAGGTGGTATACACTCACCAATGATTGAAGGATTATCCCATTTTCCTAAATTATTATTATAAACATAATTTCAAACTGTACATGTACATGTATATAATTTAAATCTTACTTGATGATAGATTATATATTGAGTGCTCATTAGTACGCCAGTTTCCACTAGGTAGAATAATATATTTAAAACGAGGTAGTTGTACAGCTGGCTTAGATCCATACCCTCCTATCATTAGTAAATGGTATACTCCATCATGTTCAAATGATATGATCCCACCACTACCTCTCCTCATAACTGGTCTAGTTGCATCAGTTGCTTCTAATTCTCTCCATTGAAGACTAACGGTATCCAGTTGTGTAATACTGTTGTGATAGCAGCTGGCATGGCCACACCATCCCCCAAAATAATACAATTGATCATTTATTGCAGTACAGCAGTAGTCTCTCACTCCTAATGGAGGAGTACCAGTAGTATCTCTAGTGATCCATTGACCAGTTGAAGGAGTAAAGTGCTCTATATTACTAGTGATCCTCCTCTTCTCTTCACTATCATGTACTCCAGGTAAAATATCCTGACCACCCCACATATACAGTGAATCACCTGATGAAACAGTGCGGTGACCAGCTCTCCTATTCAGTTGATCTATATACCAATAATTGACAGTACATGATACTGGAATAGTAAGATTAGAACTTACTTTTAGAACCAAACAACCAAGCCATCAGGCCTTGGCCCTGGCCTGCTGAGGCAGTGAGGCTGTGCCCGCTGTGGCCTGTGGACGTGGCCCGTGGGCACTGGGCAGAAGTCACGTGATCTATGAGTGGGCGTTGTTTGTGGTGGTATCTATGTTTATAATAGTGTATTTCAATGAAGACTACAGTAGAAACATATCATGGCAGAAGTCCTTCATAATATGCATCATAATACTTACGCTGGTATTAATGATTAACATTCCTTCCTTGTTGTAATCTTGCTTGTGGCTCCATGCAGTGGATTCTTATATAGCAATATTTGTTATTGATGCTAATGTATTGAAATAACTTCAAATCAGATGTAGTTAAGGTAAAAATTATGTTTATTATTGTCCTAATTCAGTTATTTGAATTATGATATTAGCATTTTAGCATTATGTTTTCACCATTTACTTTAAAATTTGTGTTTTTTTATCAATTCTCGCTTGCTATGTGCATCATGCATCACTTTTTAATATTTTGTGCGGTGAAGTTGTACCTGAATAATGCCGTATATACTATAATAATGAATCAGTCCCAATAGCTTTTAGTTGATGATGATGCATTAAATTAATAACATCAACCCAACTAAAAGTATTTGAGTTACAACCATTTTTGCAATTTTCAAAATCAGACTGTAACTTATAGCCAATAATAGCCCATGGTTTTTTCAAAAATGGCTCTAAAATCATTTAAATCTTCATTACATTTTCTA